AAAGCTGGTGGGAATAGAATTGTGAAAATAATTATTTGCTTTGAGTTTGGTTAACCGAGTCTCCAAGATTCGGTGCGGAAAGAAAGATAGGAAGTTGTTTCAGATTTTGCAGGCTCAAAATAATTGTAAGGCTTTTTTAAAGCAACAATTTTTATTTTTGCAATTGAAGACAGTGTTGGTTTCAAGTAAAATAAAATCTTTTGATTTGGGTGTTATTAACGAATGCAAAGGAAAATGGGGAATTGTATTAGCTTCACGTGAGTATTTAGGGCTTTACATAAAACCCAGACCTTCATCTATTCTCCTCCTTATTTAATCAAAGTATTGGATTAGATCTATTGTCCACTGTATTTGAAGCAAGGCCTCCAACTTGAAAAATCCTACCTCTTTGATGAGTATCTTGCCAACTGTGCTGTTCTGCAGGTTGTACGTCTTTTGTTATCCTCTGTTGAAGTTGCTCCATTTTGCAAAAAATAATTACAATTTCACTGGAGCAGGAGTTGGAAACATGTGTTGCTTTGGCTACCAACACATTTTTCTCTGTCGTGATGGAGGTTTCAGTATTCCTGTGAAGTAAAACGACTTCAGCAGAAGAGGTGGAGAAAAATCAGAATCTACTCCCTGCTTGCAAAAGGGGATTTGAATGCACATTTGCTCACCCGAAGGAATGTCGAAATGGCCTTGCATGCTGAAGACTTGAAAAAGCAAAATTTTTCCCTTTTAGAAATGCCAAAATTACTCATTTAGCTAATTCCAGGTTTGGGGATTTTATTTTTAATTGTGTATTTTTTTAAAAAAACATGTGGCTGGAGTTTTACATTAGTCACACCTACATTTGTGGCTAGCTCCCACTGCTCTGTATCTACATCTTTCATGACTAAATGATTTTCGTCGAGATGGGAACACCAGGCTTTTGTGAGCTTTAAACTGGACCTTTGGGATTACCAAACTGAGGCAGGAAGCCAGTTTCTGCCACCCCTACTCGTGTGAAGAAGATCCTTGTTACATGTACAGCCCTCACAACACAGGGTGTTAAAACCAAAACAGGAAAAAAAACCCCAAAACTTCATCCTTTCAAATACAGTTTCTACATCACAAGTGAGATAATCAGAGTAGTGCAAGTGGCAAGTACGTGTATAACACTTATGCACTGGCAAAACTCCCTGGTGCAGGGAAATCGTATTTGACAGATGCTTCAGAAAAGGGCTGGATCATCTGCGATTGTAATTTTGGTTTTTGGGTCTTTTTAATGAATGTCAAACTCAAGCGGCAGATGTGTAAAGAACACCTCTTCCAGCAAGTGATGCTGAAGCAGCTCATTTTGTCATTTCTTCTGGGTCTAGACTAAACTGAGGCCGTTAAGCTGATGTACCCATAGCTGCCTGTGAGGACAAAGGCTGCCTTTCTGAGTCAGGATGAAGCCTGTTTTCCAGTGGAGGTTTGCCAGTGAAAGGCAGAACCTCAGCTGGACCTTAGAAACGCAGCCCTCAGAAAACCTCTCCGCCTTTGCTTCGTCGAACTGCTAAAAATATTGAATGGAAAATGCAAGTATTAAGGAAATGAGGTAGATTTGGGCTTTCTGAGCTGGATGACTTCCAGTTTCATCAGCTTCCCGGAATCCTTGCTGCGAAAATGAAGAGCTCCTTGTAAATCTCAGAAACCTGTCAGTGTTTTTCCTCTCATGTGGCTGTGGTTGTTCGTGGGCCACGACACACAAGGAGACCTGTCAACATTGAGCAGCGAGTACAGAGCTTACGATTGCTGGGGTCGCTTGAGACAAATGCTCAAACACGCGACCAAAACACGACTTTCCCAGGGAATTATCTTACGGGGCAGCCGGAGAGAGCAGGCTCCAGAGGACCCGCATGGTTGAGCCTGCCACTGTGCTGGCCCAAAAGACCTGCTCTGAGAAGGACATGTGGGGACATCTTCTGTGGCCTTGCCAAGTGAAGAGCATTGAGAAATCTTCTTTGGTCACAGGAGGTCCTCTTCTAAAACGATCTGCACGTAGCCAGAGTGCCTGAGCAAGCGAGAGCAGATTAATGTCATGTTACAGGTTATGAGAAAATAGAAAAGGCAAGTTTTGGATTACATGTTGCTGGAAAGAAGTCAGGAGAAGCCAGTATCCCAACTGCAGGAGGAGACACAGGCACTCTTAATGGATTTAACGTGCAATGTACAGAAGCCAAAGGACTGGAGGTTTGCCTTATGTGGTTAAAACTGTACTTGCTCAGCGAGAAGCAGACAGTTTAAATTTAATGGCAATTACATATATAGAGACTCTCTGGTAGGACGCAGCAAGCACAGAGTGCTCTTGCACCTGCAGAAGCTCCTGCCGTCTTAGTGCTATAATGAGCATGGTGCATTATACAGCTAGCGGGGATTTTGGGCCTTCTGCAGAATGTCCTGTGGGGCAGAGGCTGAGAAGTGGCAGAGTGCCTGGTGATCTCGTCTGCAGAGCTGGCCCTGCCTCGTCACTGTGTCTTGCCTCTCCTCCTCAGGCTCTCCGTGAGCGACTGTAACCTGCTCACTCGATGTGCAGAACACTGTTTCTGCTGGCTCACATATAAGGAAGGTGTATTTTGAGGTATCCCCAAACCATGCCAGGACATGGCGGATGTTTTGGGGAGTGAGGGGAGGTTTGCAAGGGGGATCTCCAAGCAAGTTCACCCAAACTCCCCGTCCACTTGCACCTTTGGGGGCACCCCCAAACAGTCAGGCCTGCCCAGGACTGAAAAGGTGTTTGCTGCACTTAAAACCGAGCCAAGAATAAACTGCGGGTTTCAACCACATCATTGCAGATTCCTGGAAACAAGGCCTGCCTTCATGCTTGGAGGGCTTCCCTGCTCTGCCAGGAACCACAGGGAAGAGCAACAGCAGCTTTGGCTGTAAACTGCTGCTGAAGGCGTACTGTCATGGGCAAGCACATACAATACCTCTCACTGTACTCGCCTAAAGCCTTCCCAGGACAAGTCTTTGCCTACATGCCTTAGCAGCCATTTTTGATTCTCAGAAGGGGAAAAATAAGTGTCTTCTGCTGAGCATCCCACCCAGAGCAAACACTTGCAGCGTAAGACAGGCACAGGCATTGTCCTTGGCATCCAAATTTCACTGACCACCAGATAGCTGGTGGGCCTGCTGGGAAGGGTAGCATCATTGCTGAGGGCTTTTTGCTGACTTGTGTTGCCATGCCATGTTAAAGCTGAAGAGAGATGATGTGTGATCTTGTGATTAAGATCCAGAGCTGGAATTCCAGAAGCCGTTGTTCAGTCTTCATCGTGGGGGACACGGGCAAATTTCTTAACCTCTACCCCTTGCTTTCCCATCTGTTCAAAAGAGGCTAATAATACTTTTTCTTACCTCTGTAGGACAGGACGTGGCTCTGATTGTCTAGCACATTGTGTCATTGAGCTGTCTCAAGCTCCAGAGAGGCTTCCAGTGGTGTTGTGGGCTGTAGAAATGACAATGCACAACAAAGCAATTGACCACCTTTAAGATTGTAGACAGAAGATGAACAGGCTCAAGCTGGATTCAGATTTCAGCTCACCCATAGGTTTTCATATTGGTATGGAGATGCCATCACCTGTTACCACCCTCCCCATTGCTCCCCCTTCCCAGGAAAATATATGTCCAACCAGAGGGCAAAATGGATCACGTTCCAGCACAGATTTCACGAAGAGGCCTTGAGACCCTCAGATGTGTTGTTTGCTCCTTGCCTGGGCATCTGAATGACTTCGAAAGTGGCTCTGTCTAGGCCTAGAAGATGTCCTCCATCTCAGTAAAATGGCCATGGTAACACTTCCCTGCCTCAGACCTGCTGTGAGGGCTCTGCAGCTCTTGAGCCAACAATACCTGAGACAGTTTGAAAAACGAACTGTGACCTATTTGTACTGCACAGAGCTCCCATCGAAGCTCCTTACCTCCATCTGTGATGATGCCTAGAGCTGAAAAGCAGAGGTGGTATGAGCTGGTATGTATTTTTAGGAAGGCATTGCCTAAGTCTGCGGATGACCCTGTGCTTTCTGGTCCTGTTCCTGATGGGCCTGCTGACTGCAGGCTATTTCCTGAGGCAATCTCCAGGTCAGGCAAGCTGATAAGGGCTTTGTTAGGGCTCTTGTCGTTTTGTCAGCTCTGCTTTTGATGAGGAGCTCCCAGGCTGTTAGAGGTGATGTACTGGAAAATGTGCCTTTCTGCAGCTTGTACAGTATGGTGTTTGGCTGCGGGTCTCTTGTGACAATGGCAAGGAGGTCCCCACCCCAGTGAGCACTATGGGGGACGTTTGCTTCTTACGTTAGTGCAGTCCTGCTGGAATCGATACGCCTGGGAGGATTTTAAGACTTTGCGGTATAGTGGAGGCGCCCCGTGCTGGCTGAAGATTCACCTTGCCCATGTGTCCTGGTGTCAGCAGGGAGTTTCTTTACTTCTCAGCTTGAATAACTTTCCAGGTGGGGTTTATCAGTCAGGGTTGCCTAGATACAGGGAAGCCTGGGACTTAACCCCCCACACACCTCAGGAGAAGAAGGAATCTGCTCCCCCTCTGAAGAGGCTTCACACACCTCCCTGGCTTCGGCTGTGTGCTCCCGGCACGGTGCTTTGCTGAATCAGAGCATGTCCCGTGCGGTGCGTTTTGCTGCATCATAACACCCTTACGCAATTTGACAGCTCTGGCAACCTCTGCTCCAGTGAGTCCCAGAGCTACAAGAGCAGGAGCTCTGCCAGCCAGGCTTGTGGTGTGTTTGGAAAGCCATGTGGGCGAACTCATATAGCACCTGCCCGTATTAAATGCAGTTCGGCAGAATTATGTTTGTTCCTCCCTCCCTTTTGTAAGAGATGAAGCAAAAGAAAACCCCTCCTGCATGACTTCTGTTTATTTTTTTATGATGATGAGGCTTGTCCAGTTTGCAGGTTAAGCTCCTGAGGCCTGGGGCACTGCCTCCATTTGGGCTGGGGCTGGGGCTGCTCCAAGCACGTAATGACTTGGTGAACGATTCTCGTTGCAGGGACTTGAAGCTGGACAACGTGCTGCTGGACTACGAGGGTCACTGCAAGCTGGCAGACTTTGGGATGTGCAAAGAGGGCATTCACAATGGCATTACCACAGCCACCTTCTGTGGTACACCAGACTACATCGCTCCAGAGGTATAGGAAACCTTTCTTTCGCCAGGAAAACTTGGTTACAATATGAAAAGTGTAGGTTAGCTTTGGCACAGCAAACGTACGCTGTGGTGTCTTTAGCTACACCTTATTTGACTGCCGGGTGCAGGGTTTTCTCCTAGATATATGCTTGTATTATCAGTCCCTTGTGCAAGCAAAGCATGAGTAAACCTTTGGGCTGCTGTAGGCACCAAGGAAAGCCTATATTTTTCTTTAGGAGACATGAGGTGAAAAATGGAGGCACAGGTGCAAAAATCTTGAGAGGCACATACAGATAGTGGCCCAGTTTGATTTGAAAGGAGATTGAATTCTCCCTCATTTCCCAGTTCCTTTTTCTACCTCCTCCTGTTCCTGTCATTCCCCGATCTCACTACAAAATTAAAAACACCTCTTTAAGGAACAGCTGCCCTCCGGATGCTGCCAGATGTTCTGAAAGGGTTTCAGATCCTTCTTCAACACAATTGAGTTTTTGTCCGTGACTGGTGTTTGTGCCCTTCTCGCGCTCCTTCTCTCTGCAGCTGAAAGCCTTGCTGTTGGAGCTGGGTAAGCGTTTGCTTCCCAGGGGCAAGGAAAGGGCAATGTCAACCCCCCACATGTGGCTGCTCTGCCACTTCTGAGGCTCAGCCAGTTTTGGTAAAAAGCCCCTTCTCCTCCTGCTGAGCCCTACCATCATTTATAAGGGCCTGTTTCTTAGATGAACCTGTGAGCAGCCAAGATAGTTCATCTGATGTACCTCTGTGCTGATCTGGGGGTTCCCACCTTGAGATCACCCGTATGTTCCTGGACATACAGCCAGCCTAGCAGAGAGCTCTGTTAGGATGTAGTGACAAGGTCTGCATTAATGTTTCCAAATCCTTTTTCCTCCCAGTTTAAGAAGTTTCAGGGTTGATATTTCTTTCCTATCCCTTCTTCAGATCCTGCAGGAGATGCTGTACGGCCCTGATGTAGACTGGTGGGCCATGGGCGTGCTGCTGTACGAGATGCTCTGCGGCCACGCGCCCTTCGAGGCGGAGAACGAGGACGACCTCTTCGAGGCCATTCTGAACGACGAAGTTGTCTACCCAACGTGGCTCCAGCAGGACGCAGTGGCAATCCTCAAAGCGGTGAGTTGCTTTGGCCGTTTGTGTGCTCTCTGCTCTGGCTTCCTTCAGCCTAAATCTAGCAAAAGAAAACAGGGCTGGGGTATGGGCACTCAGAAATCGCGGTTACCCTGACCCTGACGCTTTCTTATCTTGGATTGAAGGGTAAACAAAAAAAAAAATCCTGCCACACTTAGGTGTGTTTGCATAGTTATGTCCTTTATACAGTTCAGCAGCCAACTTGGCAAGTAATGTGTGTGCATGTCTGTGTGTCTGGGCATTCCTCTGCTGACTTAATGATTTACAGCATATGGTCATCTTCCAGAACAGAAGCAGCAGGTACACACAGTATTTAATCAGTAGCGACCATCTCATTTCCACGCGACTGGAGTGGTGAAGAAGTGAAGTCTTCATGATGGTCCTTTGTTCTGACTGTCGGTAATACCAGCTGTCCCCCAGGGATTGCCGTCTACCTGCATACAAAGAGAGGTTTTTGGGTTTTGTGTGTTTGTAGGAGAAAAAAATGGGGCTGTACAGCAAACGGTTTGAGGGGAGCTGTTGCTGGCTACACTTAGTCCTTGTTCTACTACGTAATTTTCCCAGGAGCTCTCTTTTTCGTGTGCCTCACATCTTTGCCTGTGACGTGGGAATGAAGCTTTTCAAGATTCCAGGCTGTGCATGTACAAACAGTGCCTAGTGCACTGGAACTGCCTGGCTTTGCTGTAATGAATCAAAAGGTGATTAAATGACAAAGGTGTTCACCGACAAATCGAGAGACTTGACTGTTCTGCTACTGACTTCTTCCCACACTTGATCAAATCATTTAGTATCTCTAAGCACCCTTTGGAGAGAGAAGGATCAGAGTATTCCCTTTCCTTGCAAAAACACTGTGAACAAAGATGCATTTAAAACTGGATACTACTAAATATTATGGTAATAGAGGATCTAAGAAATAGTTGGATAAGATAGTAATTCATAGTAACTTGGGGAGCACTGACTCAGAGAAATGGGGTAATGAATGATGAGACCATTTAAAGGAAAGAAGAGAGTTTGTTTTCATCAGATCTTTAGTAGCACGAATCTGAAAGTTTTCTGTTGTATATGAACTGAGCAACTACTTTCTGTAGCGGAAAATGCATCTAATAAATTCCACAGAAGTCAACTGAGAATAAAATCCACTTCTTGAGGAGGCAACGGGTTGTGCTTTGAAATCAGAGGTTGTGCTCAGGAGTGATCATTTGTCATGCTGAAGGCCCTCTTGGGTTTTGGAAATAACCTGTAACATATTTAAAATTAAAAAAAGTGAAGTTCAGCCTCATTGCAGCTTCTGGAGCAGCGTTCTTGTTGTTGGATTGCGACTCTTGAATGCCTCTTCTGCGGTGACAAGTAATAGCGGAGTGGATTTGTTGCAGGTATCTTGCATAAGTATGAGACAGAGGTAAAATGTGGTCAGATGCTCATCATAATTTCGGGGTATAATAAAATATGATTCGTGGTTTAGCCTCTTGATTAAATGCTTATTTTCATAATTCTGATGGGACCCTCACAGAAACAGCCAGTGCAAGCTGCAGTCACCCCAGGCTGCTGCAACCCGTGTTCAGAGCCCAGCTTTTAACAGCGGGTCCCTTCTGTGGTTAACAGGCCAGCAGCATGATGAGAGGCACTGGAGAAAGAGGGCCAGAATTGAGGAGGGAGCAAAGAATTTAAATAGAGATCAACTGAGAGTCTCCAAAACTGCATGGTCAACTTAGCAATTGCTGGTTACTTGCCTGAAAAAGGTCTCCTCTCCAGCCGCTCTGCTTCTCTTCTGTATCACGTGTTGCTGGTGAAACCCAAATGAAAGCAAAACTGTCTCCCTGAAACGCACATGCGTTGCTTGAGAGAAGCACTAAGCTATGTCTGCTTTGGGAAAAAGGCTGAAATTTAGGGCATTAATGGGGAGCCTTGTGATTAACTAGTGGGAAGATACAACTGAAGTTTTTACTGGACCTTCAGTTCTTCAGTGTTTCTGTTCCCTGGGTGGCTGGTACCTGGAGGTGACTTTTGCATCTTATTTTACCGCACTGATGATAGTTGGCTACAGCCTGAATTTCTTCAGCTTCACAGTAGTTGCTTTTGGGACCAAGAGCTGTTCACTAGAAGAGCTCCTCATTTCCTCCTCCCTTTCTTATGCTGAGTTTTCAGAGACATCAGAGCATCTTGGCTTTAAAGGAACGGAAACATCTTGTCATGAGATTATCTGGGATTCTAGATTAAGATGAAGGAAACTCACACACTTTGATTTCTTTTGAATGATAACAAATGTGATCACTGCTGAAGTATTATATTTGCAGTATACTGATAATGTTTGGTCAGTATTTTTAGGTGTCAGTATAACACAGAGTGGAGAACCTGGCTTTTTTGTTCTCTTGTGGCTATTTTATGAAGGAAGACAGTAGATTTTCTAGCTGTTAATTGTGTAGGGTTTTTTTTGTCACAGACTTCTGATGCTAATATTACTTCTCTCAGATACACCATTATTACTATGTGAGCATCTTCTAATTGCTACTATGTTTACCTCCAACAAAAAGTGAACTCAAGCTCCCTGATTTACAGCTGTGACAGTGCTTTTAACCCATGATATTAAGAGCTCTGGAAAATCAGAGGACTCAACTACTGTAGTGACATAAATGATTAGAAGTAATTACATGACATGGAAAGCCCGTGGAAGACCAGGGAATTAAACCTGGGGTCTCTTGTATTGCAGGCTAAGGTGTTAATAGCCTTAATAACTGGATTATCCTCTCACTAAAAGTTCTGGCCTCTGACCGTGAACAGGACTAGTGAGAATTTACTTGGTCTTGAGTGGTACAAAGCTCTGAAATGAAAATCAAATTCTTCTGCCAGGAAGATGCAATTAGGTGTAGGTGCTTAGAGATGCTCTACAAATGGATATATCTAGGTTTAGAGAGCACTCGATCCATTTGCCTTCATGAATAGCTTCATTGTAAACAAGGATAATAGGTTTTAGGACCCATTTCACAGATGCTGTTATTTCATTTTGCTTTCGTTTACCATAATTGTGCTTTACCAATTTCCCCCCATCAGAAACCACCCAATTTCTGAAGGTTGCATCCTGTTCATCTTTGCAGTTTCCTGATAATAACCAAAACACATTCTTAGGACCTCATTTAGGTCACTGAGTGTTCCTGACATGTTTTTGAGCACTGGTACCAAGGAAAACAAAAACAACCTCAGTGCCCTGGGACTTTGTTTAGGATTGAAAGCAGGAATACCTGTGCTCCAGAAAAAGTTGTTTTTATCTATTTCGCTTTTTAATGGTTTTGACCGTGATATTTTGTCCTTGATATCTTCTCTCAAGAGCTCAGGAAAGAGTAGGGCAGAGCTAAATCAGTGTAAATCAGCAGGATTTTGCTGGAGTCAATACTCCCAAAGGGGAGTTGCATTGTTGAGGGAAAACTAGCTGAAATCTCTTAGCTTTAGTGTTTTGATTCTGTGTGAAACCATCTCATGCAACAGTTCAGCCAGTGGAAAGCTGATCTCTCCTCTGGGATGGGGCTGATCTTAAATGCAAACGTGTCCCATTTAAGGGACGAGGCGCTGAAAAGCAAACTACATCACCTGCAGCGTCGGGTGCCAAAAGCAGAGTTGTGCGGAGACAGAGCTGCTGTCCTCCTCATCCCAAATGTCTCGACAGACACTAACGCTACAGATCAGTGCCCAGCAGATATTACGTGAGACCGTTTGCCTGTGCCAGGAGCTCCCACTTTATGCTGGTCACATACATCTAAGAGAGGCCAAATTCCTGAAGCCCTCGCAGAGGTCACCAGCAGCAGAAGGGACAGTACTTATCCAGGGCTGACCAGCACAGGAATCACCCCCGCTGCTTCCGAGCCCAGCCAGAAAATCTCACTCAGTGTACCCTGCCCCGTCCGAGTGTGTCACTGGGGAATTTAGGTATTGATGGTTCAAGTCAGGCGGAGAGGACTGAAACTGAGGTCTCCCCTGATTGTGTGAGCAAGTTGAAATGGGCATGGATTTGCTTGTGGAAGTAAAAAAAGTGGAGAAAAGGAGAACTGCTGCTGAATGAATTCAGACCACTTCAGCTCATTCTAAACATAAGTTTTGCTTTGATTTTGATTCCCCCTCAAAAAGGTTTTTCCATAGCCCTGCATGAATGTGGTCACAAGGAGTTTATGCCAGAGGAGCTGTTGGGTTTGTGTCTGTAAAAGAAATTCTTTCAAATACTCTTTGCCATCAGCTGACAGGATAGTCACCAGTGTCTGATGATGAAGAGACTGTGAAAGAGAAACAGTGAGCATGCAGAGAGCAGAGACTGACGCATCTTATCTTTTACGGTGAGAGTGCAGCTGGAGTTTGCCTTGTTACAGCATGTCGACGTTCTGAACTTGTAAATGGTTGCTAGCAAAAAGTGCTTGAGCAAAAAGAGGGTGGCTTTCCAGGCAGTCAGGGGCTTTGGGATTCAGCTGAGGGAACTGCAAAATGAAATACAATCTTCTCATTTCCCATAAGCGGGGTGGTATTTTGGCAGCGTGTTTCACTCGCTTCATGTATGACTTTCTCAAATGCCAGTCATGCTGTCTTGCTCACAGTCAGGCTTAGTTGGAGGGGAGAATGAAGGGACACAGTGAAAATCAGGTCTCAAAAGTCGAGGGCATAATGGGAAGCAAATTTGCAGGGAAAGCTGCAGGGATTTTCCTTTCCAAGTCTAGTTTCAGATGAGGAGAGAAGGGCTAAGCCTATTGAGTTGCTCTGTGGGCTGATGAGCTGAAGTAGCAATGGTTGGCCCAAGGGCTTGGAAACTTGGATGAGTGATTGCAGCTTAGATGTTTTCACTTTCAGAGCCAGGTAACAGCAGGGGCTAGAAAGCAGCATCTCCCCAGGGAAGTGTTAGCATTGCTCTGCCTTCTGCACCCTGGATTTCCGAACTCCCATCACAGCTGAGTCTGCTGAAGCCGAGGGTGTCTCTTGGAGTTTGTGTGCGAAGCTTCAGTCTTATTGTG